GCATTGCGTTTTTGCACTTGTGTTTTTGATGTGTTTTGCAGGGGGGGGTTCATTTTTAAAAAATTTTTCTTGTTGCTAGGCAGATTTAAAAGCGCAGCAAAAATGCAGTACATGGTTTTCTGCATCATTTCCGTTGAAACCTATAGAAACAAAAACGCAACATTTTGCGTTGAAAAAATTTCCCTGACCCTTTCCAAAAAACGCACTGGGTGAAACCGCACAGGTATGAACCTGTCCCATTGGAAATCATATTAAATGGACCGTACTGCGTTTCGGCAAAACGCAGCAGAAAAACACTTAAGGGACCACACTTTCAAGGGACCATCCCTGAAACTAGGGACAAAGACCGCCATACTTATATACATGGCTCCCAACTGTCCCTGATTTTGAGAGACTGCCCCTGATTTCAAGAGACTGTCCCTGATTTTGAGGGACTGCCCCTGATTTCAAGGGACTGTCCCTGATTTTGAGGGACCGTCCCTGAAACTAGGGACAAAGACCTCTATACTTATATACATGGCTCCAAACTGTCCATGATTTTGAGGGACTGCCCCTGATTTTGAGGGGACTGTCCCTGATTTTGAGGGACTGCCCCTGATTTTGAAGGGACTGCCCCTGATTTCGAGGGACCATTCCTGAAACTAGGGACAAAGACCTTTATACTTATATACATGGCTCCCAACTGTCCCTGATTTTGAGGGACTGCCCCTGATTTTGAAGGGACTGTCCCTGATTTCAAGGGACCATCCCTGAAACTAGGGACAAAGACCTTTAACTTATATACATGGCTCCCAACTGTCCCTGATTTCGAGGGACTGTCCCTGATTTCGAGGAACTGTCCCTGATTTGGAACAAAGTCCCTCTGTCCCCTCTTTCCTCCTCATTCGTCCCTCATTTTGGTCTGATCTCTATTGCCATATATAAAATGCAATTTCTATCTATCAAAAAGTATTTCCCAGGTGCTAAACCTTTCATCCAGTTTTCTCAATAGCTGCATTTGTATATTTCAAAGGCCAGTATAGAAAAATAATAGTGGTAGAAAAAAAAAAAAAGCACTTGTGGGTTTAACTAATCTTTTTTTATATAATAATTCTCCTTTAAGGGGTCGTGGCAGGGGGCGTGCCCTACGCCTACATACTTTTGCTAATGGGAATATTCATTCCCATCTCAAAAAGTCGGGAGGTATGTATATATATGTTGCAGTTTTGAAGTTGTATACCGGGTTTTTTTTTTTTTTTAATTCAGCATTCGTTTCCCTTTCAGATAAAAGTGATCCAAGTGGCTGATTAGCTGCTGGATCACTTTTAGAAGCAGCGGGAGGGAACGCCTCCACCACCAACCACCCACCATCAGTATTTCCTGGGCTTACCGTTCTCACCGGGGAGCGCAGGATCTGATCCAGCAGTTGCAGCTGCACAAAGGTGAGGAAAGACCAGATTCGTCTGTCCTCACCTCTATGATTTAGGAGGACTGGAGCGACTTTTGGGCTGGGTCGAATGTAAACAATTTTTTTTTTTAAAGAAGATAATTTTTTTTTTTTTAATCATATGCTTCTAAAGCTAGAGGAGGCATTTTTTATTATTATTATATTATTATTATATTATTGTTATTATTATACAGGATTTATATAGCCCAACTGTTTGCTCAGCACTTTACAATATAAAGGGAGACAATACAGCAACAATACAGTTCAATACAAGAGGGATAGGAGAGGCCCTGATCCTAGGAGCTTACAATCTTAATGCATTTGGGGGTCTCCACATAAAGAGGACCTGTCATCCCTTATTCCTATCACAAGGGATGTTGACATTCCTGGTGATAAGAATAAAAGTGAGAGAAAACAAGTTAAAGATACAATGTAAAAATCAAAAATATAATAAACAAACAAATAAATAAATCATAAAAAAAAAATTTAAAGGGCCCCCCCATGCCTCCATGCTCGCAAACACATTTGACACGCATATGTAAAAAAAAAATATATATATATATATATATATATTTTAGCAGAGACCCTAGAGAATAAAATGGTGATTGTTGCAATTTTGGTATTTGTACAGCGGTTTCTCAACTGCATATAACTTTTGTAACTCTAAGCTGGTAACCTGAAAAAATGTTTAAAGCATCGCCTATGGAGATTTCTAAGTATCGCAGTTTTTTCGCCATTCCACAAGAGTGAGCAATTTTAAAGCGTGACATGTTAGGTATCTATTTACTCGGTGTAACATCATCTCTCAAATTTAGCAAAAAAATTGGGTTATATAAATTTTGACTTTTTTTTTTGTTTGTAATTCATTAAAGTGTATTTTTTTTCCCAAAAAAAATTGCATTTAAGAAAACTGCTGCGCAAATACCACGTAAATACATTAAAAAAAAATTGCAATAATTGCCATTTTATTCTCTAGTGTCTCTGCTATATAAAAAATATATATATATATTTATTTCAGGTACTTATTTAGTGCTGTCAATTTACGCAGTGCTTTACATATATATTGTACATTCACATCAGTCCCTACCCTCAAAGGGTGTACAATCTAAGGTCCCTAATGCAGGCCATAGACAGGTCGAAAATCGTCCGATTTAAAAAAAAAAAAAAAAAAATCGGTCGTTCGATAGGCCGACGTTACCACCAACGGTAAAAAATGGATACATTTGTTGCAATCGCAAGATGACTTCTTCTTCTTCTCCTTTTTCGCCATCTTCTTCCAGATCACGGCTCATGCACAGATTTTTTTATCAGTTAAAACGATTAGGCCAATTTGCCCATCATTGCCGGCAAAATCGGCCGCAAATTCTCCAACATGCCCGATAAAAAAAATGTGCAAAAACCCCGAAAGCCAAATTAACCCACTAACGGTGCGAAAATCGGCCTATTTTTGACCCATCTATGGCCTGCATAACTTACATACACAGACTAGGGACAATTTTGACAGGATCCAATTAACCTACCAGCATGTCTTTGAAGTGTGGGGAGGAAACTGGAGTACCCAGAAGAAACCCACACAGGACAACATGCAAACCCCAGTCAGGTGGCGCTGTGCCTGGGATATGAACCAGCAACCTGAGTACTGTTAGGCGGAAGTGCTAACCACTCAGCTGCTGTGCTGCCTATATATATCTATCTATATATCTATAGATATACATATATTTTTTTTTTTTTAAATATAAATATTTGTTTATATATGCTATGTAATTCCTGTATTATATATATATGTATTAAAAAAATATATATAATTGCATTTGATATGATTATACATGATATATATATATATAAATATATAATTGTATTGTAATTGTACTGTCTCTCTTATATTGTAAAGTGCTGCGCAAACGGTTGGCGCTATATAAATCCTGTATAAAATAATAATATATACTGTATATATATATATATATATATATATAATATATTGCTATGTAAATCCTGTAATATATATATATATATATATATATACACACAGTATACATTATTATTATTATTTATACAGGATTTATATAAATCCTGTATAATAATAATATATATTGTGTGTCCCATATATATATATATATTAATATGCTGCGCATATATGGTTATATATTTATTTATATAAATTCCTGTATTATATATATGTATTAAAAAGTAATAGAAATTGCATATGATATGATTATACATGATTGATATAGCATATATAAAATATATATAATTGTATTGTAATTGTATTGTCTCCCTTATATTGTAAAGCTGCTGCGCAAACTGTTGATGCTATATAAATCCTGTATAATAATAATATATATACTGTGTGTATATATATATATATATATATATATATTTTACAGGATTTACATAGAATATATATATAGCATATATATATATATATAGCACATAGCATATATATATATATAAAATGTTTGGTGGTAATTTCCTAGTAAAAAAAATACTGATTTTTAAATGTAAACAAAAAGTGCCAGAAAAGTCTTGGTCCGGAAGTGTGTAGTGTCATGCGTGAGGTGCAGTGCGTTGCGTAAAATTGTAACCCGCATCATGTCACCGTTATGGTAGGAATAGGGCACACCGAAAGCAATTGTTTTCTATTTGCCATTTGGGTTGATGAGTGGACATGTGAACAAGTCCCTACATCTACTTTAAATTAAAAATGGTGTCTGCTATGCGGGTAGGAGCTGATCTTTGGTTGTCCTTTTTGTTGCTTTTTTTTTGTGTCCTTTTATGAGACAAATCCCTTGATGTTTGAATGATCTTAATCTGTGAGACAGATGCAGGAAGTGTATAATGAGCCGGCATTAGGGGAATTACATTGGATCTTATCAGCTTGGGAACTACAGCCCCCAGAATTCCAGAGCAGGATAAGATCATGCCTCCCTTGGGGCTGAGGTCATCCTCCTGTTGGGTTGGCTCTGATAGAAAAAACTGCTGCCTCTGAGTGTGTTATCTGAGTGCCTGTGTCAGCCAGTGCAGGCATCTCCCCCCTCCTCCTCCTCCTCTTCCTCCTCCTCCTCCTCCTCCTCTTGGTCTCCTCTGTCCACAGCAGAACATCCAGCATCATTCACAGACCCCGCCCCATCCTCAGCCTCTGTTTTCCCCTGTCATTCTCCCACAGACAGTGGCCGCAGAGCAATGAATGAGCATCCACAGCCCCAGAAGAGACTAGGCGTTTCCAGCTGCCTCTCATGAACATCAAAGAGGATTAGCCACCCAAATCTGCAACTGACACCATCGTGCTAGGACATCTCCTTGAAGGCTGCCCTCAAAGGCTGGAACCAGCTTCATCCTGACACCTGAAATCTGCATCTGGCGGAACGATGCTCCAATGGATGCTCTGCTGTTGACGGGGAGATGCTACCAAGGGATTACTGAAGGCGTTCGATCCAGCTGTGGCCGGTGAGGAGGAACGTATTGCGGATAGACGGATGAATGTCAGCGTCTGAGGGTACCGTTCTGCATTCCTAGGTGCACCCCTTGGAATAAACAATATCACAACAGAGGAGACGCAGAAGGGGAGGGGAGCAAGATGTGCAGTAAAACCAAGAATAGCGAAGCCCTGAAGGTGGTGGTAAGATGCCGCCCAATCAACAGGAAAGAAGAAGCAGCTGGCTACGACAGGATAGTGGCCATGGATGTCAAACTAGGGCAGGTGACCATTCGGAATCCAAGGGCGAACCCTGGGGAACTGCCAAAGACGTTTACCTTTGATGCCGTGTATGATGCCAGTTCCAAGCAGACAGACTTATATGATGAGACTGTCAGGCCTCTCATCGATTCTGTCTTGCAAGGGTTTAATGGCACCATATTCGCCTATGGACAGACTGGCACCGGCAAGACCTACACCATGCAGGGTTTCTGGGCTGAGTCAGATAAAAAAGGGGTGATTCCGAATTCTTTCGACCACATTTTCACCCATATCTCTCGATCCCAAAATCAGCAATATTTGGTGAGGGCATCTTACCTGGAGATCTATCAAGAGGAAATACGTGACCTCTTGTGTAAAGACCAGAGCAAGAAGTTAGAACTTAAGGAGAATCCTGAAAGTGGAGTATATATTAAGGACCTGTCTTCTTTTGTGACCAAAAATGTGAAGGAGATAGAACATGTTATGAATTTAGGTAACCAAGCTCGGTCGGTGGCCTGCACAAACATGAATGAGCACAGTTCGAGGTCCCACGCGATCTTTGTTATCACCATAGAGTGCAGTGAACTGGGTGTGGATGGGCAGGAACATATCCGAGTTGGGAAACTCAACCTGGTGGACTTGGCTGGCAGTGAAAGACAAAGCAAAACAGGAATGAATGGAGATAGGCCCAAGGAAGCTTCAAAAATCAACCTTTCTCTATCCGCACTGGGTAACGTGATATCAGCGCTGGTAGATGGTCGCAGCACCCACATTCCCTATAGAGACTCCAAACTGACCCGTCTTTTACAGGACTCTCTAGGTGGCAATGCTAAAACCATAATGGTGGCCACCCTAGGCCCAGCCTCCCACCACTACGACGAAACTTTGTCCACTCTCAGGTTTGCCAACAGGGCTAAGAACATCAAGAACAAGCCAAAAATTAATGAGGACCCCAAGGACACTCTGCTGAGGGAATTCCAGGAAGAGATTGCCAGGCTGAAGGCCCAGCTAGAAAAAAGGGGGATGCTCAGCAAGAAGCGCCGACGGAACAGCCGCAGGAAAAAGTCGGTGGATGGGGAGTCTATTCCAGATACAGAGGCTGAGGAGGAGAATGAAGACAACCTCATTGAGAAAAATGTAGGGAGCTACTTGAAGGAACAAGCTGAGAGGTTGCAGCAGGAGAAAGCAGCTATCCAGGAGGACCACAGCTTGTTGGAGGAGGAAAAGATGAAGATGATTGAAGAGAAGGAGAAGATGATGGAGGATTTAACAAAGGAGCAGAAAGCAACAGAGATGCTGGCGGTGAAATTCAAGGTAATTCTTTTTCAATATAGACACAAACCCATCCTAATAATTATACAGTATATTTGTATGGCATGATGTTGGTTGTTCAGATGCTGAGACAAGTTCCACCATGGTTTTAGGCCTTGTACATCCAGCAAGCCTCAAACAGCTTTGTTGAAGCCTTCAAAGCAAACTCCAGGTCCAGAACAGGGATTTTAAAGTTTATCTAGACCCAAAAATATATCTAGTCCTTAGATATGGAGGTTGCATTAGGGTCCATAGGCTTTGGTTCGCATTAGACAGGTATGCAGAACCTACTGAAAGAAGATCAGGAGGTCAACTGCAGGTCCTTTGCACCTGTCAATGAATCGTGAAAGATCTCAGAAGTGTCTCAAGCTGATGTCAAGCAATACCATCGATAAGAGCCCATAGACACAGGACCTTGGTATTCTTTTTCAGGATTTTTTTTACCTGGTAATCCTGCTAAGAAATCGATTTACATGCGATTCCACGTGTCACACATAGCGCAGCCCATTACTTCAACGGACTTGCTCTATGCGCATTTGTTGCAAAAAATAAGCTCCTGCACCTTTCTGGGCAACAAGCTTCACGTAATTTTAAGTCCCGTTTTGCCACGATTCTTCCACACGTCTATCACCACAAAAGCTGTAGGCATTTGGGGCGCCATTTACAATGAATGAATGGCACCCAAACATGCATTGCCCCTTTTGCACCGATTGCCAAGAGTTTTGGAATCGCGGGCAGAATTGCAGCGATTCCATCCTTGATTCCAAATCGTGAAGCATGAATGGAGCCTGAAGCTTACCGAACCCTCTTAACAGTATGCTTAAAGTGAAAGTCAGCACTCCCATAAATGTATGTAGTTAACCAACACAAACTGGACATATTGGGTGTTATGAAGGCAGCAGCAAGGCGGTTGAATGTTTAGAACAGTGGTCTCCAAACTTTCTAAACAAAGGGCCCGTTTACTGTTCTTCAGACTTTAGGGGGGCTGGACCATGGCCAGTGGGAGTAGAATATGCCCCAACGTCAGTGGGAGTAAACAATGACCCATTGGAATAGTGCCCCATTATTGCTATCAGTGGGAGGAATAGTGCCCCATCATTGGTATCAGTGGGAGGAATAGTGCTCCATCATTGGTATCAGTGGGAGGAATTAGTGTCCCATCATTGGTATCAGTAGGTCCCAGGATCGGTGGGGGAAATAGTGCCCCATCATTGGTATCAGTGGGAGGAATAGTGCGCCCCATCATTGGTATCAGTGGGAGGAATAGTGCCCCATCATTGGTATCAGTGGGGGAATAGTGCCCTATCATTGGTATCAGTGGGAGGAATAGTGTCCCATCATTGGTATCCCCCATCATTGGTATCAGTGGGGGGAATAGTGCCCATCATTGGTATCAGTGGGAGGAATAGTGTCCCATCATTGGTATCATGGGGGTATCAGTGGGGAGGAATAGTGCTCCCCATAATAGTGCCCCATGGTCAGTGGGAGGAATATCAGTGGGAGGAATAGCGCCCCATCATTGGTATCAGTGGGGGGAATAGTGCCCATCATTGGTATCAGTGGAGGAATAGTGTCCCATCATTGGTATCAGTGAATAGTGCCCCATCATTGGTATCAGTGGGGTGTTCCATCAATAGTGAATAGTCCCCCCATCATTGGTGTCAGTGGGAGGAATAGTGCCCCATCATTGGTATCAGTGGGAGGAATAGTGGGTATCAGTATGCCCCATCATTGGTATCAGTGGGAGGAATAGTGCCCCATCATTGGTATCAGTGGGAGGAATAGTGCCCCATCATTGGTATCAGTGGAAGGAATAGTCCCCCATCATTGGTATCAGTGGGAGGAATAGTGCCCCATCATTGGTATCAGTGGAGGAATAGTGCCCCATCATTGGTATCAGTGGCTCCATCATTGTGTATCAAGGAATAGTGCCCCATCCCCATCATTGGTATCAGTGGGAGGAATAGTGCCCCATCATTGGTGTCAGTGGGAGGAATAGTGCCCCATCATTGGTATCAGTGGAGGAATAGTGTCCCATCATTGGTAATAGGAATAGTGCCCCATCATTGGTATCAGTGGGAGGAATAGGTCCCCATCAGTGGAAGGAATAGTGCCCCATCATTGGTATCAGTGGAAGGAATAGTGCCCCATCATTGGTATCAATTGGAGGAATAATTCCCCATCATTGGTATCAGTGGGAGGAATAGTGCCCCATCATTGGTATCAGTGGGAGGAATAGTGTTCCATCATTGGTATCAGTGGGAGGAATAGTCCCCCATCATTGGTATCAGTGGGAGGAATAGTGCCCCATCATTGGTATCAGTGGGAGGAATAGTGCCCCATCATTGGTATCAGTGGGAGGAATTGTGCCCCATCATTGGTATCAGTGGGAGGAATAGTGCCCCATCATTGATATCAGTGGGAGGAATAGTGTCCCATCATTGGTATCAGTGGGAGAATAGTGCCCCATCATTGATATCAGTGGGAGGAATAGTCCCCCCCATCATTGGTATCAGTGGGAGGAATAGTGCCCCATCATTGGTATCAGTGGGAGGAATAGTGCCCCATCATTGGTATCAGTGGGAGGAATAGTGCCCCATCATTGGTATCAATGGGGAATTAGTGCTCCATCATTGGTATCAGTGGGAGGAATAGTCCCCCATCATTGGTATCAGTGGGAGGAATAGTGCCCCATCATTGGTGTCAGTGGAGGAATAGTGCCCCATCATTGGTATCAGTGGAGGAATAGTGTCCCATCATTGGTATCAGTGGGAGGAATAGTGCCCCATCATTGGTATCAGTGGGAGGAATAGGTCCCCATCATTGGTATCAGGGTGAGGAATAGTGCCCCATCATTGGTATCAGTGAGAGGAATAGTGCCCCATCATTGGTATCAGTGGGAGGAATAGTGTCCCATCATTGGTATCAGTGGGAGGAATAGTGCCCCATCATTGGTATCAGTGGGAGGAATAGTGCCCCATCATTGGTATCAGTGGGAGGAATAGTGCCCCATCATTGGTATCAGTGGGAGGAATAGTGCCCCATCATTGGTATCAGTGGGAGGAATAGTGCCCCATCATTGGTGTCAGTGGGAGGAATAGTGCCCCATCATTGGTATCAGTGGGAGGAATAGTGCCCCATCATTGGTATCAGGGAGAGGAATAGTGCCCCATCATCAGTGGGAGGAATGTGTATCAGTGAGTGGAGGAATAGTGCCCCATCATTGGTGTCAGTGGGAGGAATAGTGTCCCATCATTGGTATCAGTGGGAGGAATAGTGCCCCATCATTGGTATCAGTGGGAGGAATAGTGTCCCATCATTGGTATCAGTGGGAGGAATAGTGCTCCATCATTGGTGTCAGTAGAAGGAATAGTGTCCCATCATTGGTGTCAGTAGAAGAAATCGTGCCTCATATCAGTGGGAAGAATAGTGCCTCAAAGGCCGGATAAAAGTATGCAAGGGGCTGCATTCAGCCCCGGGCCACAGTTTGGAGACCGCTGGTTTAGAAGATTGCTCTACACATAACTACGCTGTATTTACAATCATTGCTAAAAGCCCCAATGTCTATAGGCAGTTCTGGCTTTCGAAGCTTTGCCTTTAGCAATCCTGGTGACTTGAAATGTCCCTCATTTGGAATAGTCACCAGCAGGGCTAACAAACTCTTTTTTTCTGCTGTTTAAATTCACTCCAATTTTTTGCTCTTTTTTTTCCAAATTTTTAGTGATCCAGAAAAGCGCAAGTTAACAGGAAATAAATATTTAACAAAAATTTGCTTGAGTAGGAGGACCTAGGTGGTGGGACCAGGACACAGTAGTGACCCTGCAGGTCATTATAGAATGGATGGAGCTTACATAACCAGCAGGCATATTCACTTTCTGCTAACTGACGGCTTAACTCTTTGTCTATGAAGGCATGTTTATTAACGTCTTGGTATTCAAGGGGTTAAATCATGCTGCTGCAGCCGTAAGCTTGGTATTGGTTTTTAGAGCTGGCGTAGGGCTCTCCCGAAGAAGTTCTCTAGATCATTTTTACTCTAGGTTCACACCTATGTGTTTTTTTAGTGCATTTTGGCAGAAACACACTCCAGTCCATTTTACATAGTTTCCTATGGCTTAAGTTCACATATGTGCGTTTTGAGCCAGTGTGTTTTCTCAAAAGGGTCAGGGACCCCTTTTTCCGCAACAGATTAAGGTTTTGATTGCAGTAGACTTCAATGGACCCTCACCGAAAATGCAAGTGTTGCGTTTTTTATGCGGTTTGCTTTTTTCTTTTGGTTCATAGGAAAGTATGATGGTTTTGTTCATGTAGTGCGACTTTGATGCGACTTTACAGTCTCTGGCACTCAAGTAACATCACAAGTAGCACTGGAACCTTTACCTGTCCAAAGTCGCATTTTAGGGTTCGAGGGTTAAGGGTGGGGGTTAGTGTTAAATGTTAGGGTTAAGGGCTAGGGTTATATCATGATGATACATAAACGGGCTAAATGTTAGGGTTATGATAAGGAGTAGGATTAGGGTTAAAGGCTAGGGTTAGGGTTAAACGTTAGGGTAAGGGATATGGTTAAATGTTAGAGTTAGGATTAAGAGTTAGGGTTAGATGTTAGGGTTAGGGCTAGGGTTATGGTTAAGGGACTAGGGTTATGGTTAAGGACTAGGGTTAGATGTAGGGTTAAGGGTTGGAGTTAGGGCTAGATGCTAGGGTTAAGGGTTATGTTAGGGTTAAGGGCTAGGTTTAGGGTTAAGGGTTGGAGTGTTAGGTTAAATGTTAGGGTTAAGGGTTAGATGTTAGGGTTAAGGGTTAGAGTTAGATTTAGGGTTAAGAGTTAAGTTAGGCAAGTGCTTAGGGTTAAAGCTAGGGTTAGAGATAAGGGTTAGATGTTATGGTTAAGGGTTAGAGTTAGATGTTAGGGTTAGATGTTAGGGTTAAGGGTTAGAGTTAGGAATAGATGCTAGGGTTAGAGTTAGAAGTTTGGGTTAAGGGTTAGGGTGAGATGTTAGGGTTAAGGGCTAGGGTCAGATGTTAGGGTTAAGGGTTAGAGTTAGGAATAGATGCTAGGGTTAGAGTTAGAGTTTGGGTAAGAGTTAGGGTTAGATGTTAGGGTTAAGCTAGGGTTAGATGTTAGGGTTAATGGCTAGGGTTAGGGTTAGATGTTAGGGTTAATGGCTAGGGTTAGGGTTAGATGTTAGGGTTAATGGCTAGGGTTAGATGTTAGGGTTAATGGCTAGATGTTAGGGTTAATGTTAGGGTTAGATGTTAGGGTTAATGGCTAGGGTTAGGGTTAGATGTTAGGGTTAGATGTTAGGGTTAATGGCTAGGGTTAGATGTTAGGGGTAGGGTTAGGGTTAATGGCTAGGGTTAGGGTTAGATGTTAGGGTTAATGGCTAGGGTTAGGGTTAGATGTTAGGGTTAATGGCTAGGTTAGGGTTAGATGTTAGGGTTAGATGTTAGGGTTAATGGCTAGAGTTAGGGTTAGATGTTAGGGTTAATGGCTAGGGTTAGGGTTAGATGTTAGGGTTAGGGTTAGATGTTAGGTTAATGGCTAGGGTTAGGGTTAGATGTTAGGGTTAATGGCTAGGGTTAGATGTTAGGGTTAATGGCTAGGGTTAGATGTTAGGGTTAAATGTTAGGGTTAAGGGTTAGATGTTAGGGTTAGAGCTAGGGTTATATGTTAGGGGTATGGTTAGGGTTAAGAGTTAGATGTTAGGGGTTAGTTAGATGTTAGGGTTAAGGGTTAGATGTTAGGGTTAATGGCTAGGGTTAGATGTTAGGGTTAAGGGTTAGATGTTAGGGGTTAAGGGTTAGATGTTAGGGTTAATGGCTAGGGTTAGATGTTAGGGTTAAGGGTTAGATGTTAGGGTTAATGGCTAGGGTTAGATGTTAGGGTTAAGGGTTAGATGTTAGGGTTAATGGCTAGGGTTAGATGTTAGGGTTAATGGCTAGGGTTAGATGTTAGGATTAGATGTTAGGGGTAAGGGCTAGGGTTAGATGTTAGGGGTAAGGGCTAGGGTAAAATGTTAGAGTTAATGGCTAGGGTTAGGGTTAAATGTCAGGGTAGGGGTTAGGGTTAAGGGCTAGGGTTAGGGTTAAATGTCAGGGTAAAAAATTGCAACTTCCATTGTTTTATTCTCCAGGGCATCCTCTTTCAGAAAATGTGTCATTGTTTGAGAGTTTAGGGTCATTTCACAGGTGCAAGCAATTTTGAGACTGGACATGTGTGGTATCTATTTACTCAACACAACCCCACCTTGTATAATTTACCAAAATAATGGGTAGAATATTGTGTTTGTGTGCACTACAATTAATTTTAATGTAGTTATTTTATGAAACTATGCATTTATTAAATATGTTGCGCAAATACTGTGTGACATAAACAACATTTCAACTGCCACCATTTTATTCTCCAGGGTCTCCACTTTCAGAAAATGTTAGATTTTTTGGGGGTGAGTTTAAAGGAGTACAGCCATATCTTGTTTGGCTGTACTTCTTCTGTGGATCAAAGGAGTGTAATACAGTGACCCGTTTTCTACTGAGAGAGCATGGG